CTGCTATGAGAAAATAATATAGGTCTATTACAACGAGAACGTTTACACGCTCCACTTGTGCTGCTACTGAGCTGTGTGTGGGTTATCAGATTTCTCATGTTGTGACTTTGACACTTTCCTACCTCTCTCCTTGGAACTGAGAGTTGGCCTGACTAAGCTGTTCCTTCCACAACAGCGGAAGAAGAGTTATCCTTCCCCAGTGCTGACTACTGAGGAGCTCCCCACCCCAGGGCTCTGTGAAACTTGTTTTGGTTTTGGTTTTGTTTGGTTGCCATACTGGAATTGAACCCAGGACCTTCATGATGAGCTACAACCCTGACCCTTTTTCATTCTGAAACAGAGTCTCACTAATCACTAAATTGTCAGTCTGGGCTTGAATTTACCATCTTCCTGCCTCAGACTTCCAGAGTTCTGTGAATACAGGTGTGCACTGACCTATCCAGGAGATTGGACTCTTCTTTGAGCTTCACCCATGTCTGCTGAAAACCCCAAATAGTGGTAGTGAACCTATGGCAGGTGTGCTGCAGTGGGATAATTGTGTGGCTGAAAGCTCTAACTGCTTCAGGTTCACCATCGCTGTCCCAGAATATTTCCCCACTCTCCCAGTCCTTCCTTTGCATCCAAGATCCTCATCCTACTAGACTGTACACCTGGGCAATGAATGACATAGCTTCCGGTGTCAGGAGCAACGGAAACACCTGCTTTCAGACTATTTCTCTAACCTATCCTTGTTATCTTCCATTTCCACATGACCTCCAGTTGGCTGATTCCAGATATCACTGGGAATTCAGAACCATGAACACCAGGAGTAGCAGAAGTCAGGGATACAATGACTCTTTTCATTTTTTCCAGTACTGCAGATTGAACCCTGGGCCATTGTACTGACCTACATTCTCAGCTCTTTTTATATTTTCTTTTGAGACAGTATCCTTAATTTTCCCAGATTGGGCTTGAATTTGTAGTCTTTTTGCCTCAGCCTCCCAGAATGTAAGGATTACAATCATGCACTACCACCAACAACTAATGTGTTTTGAAACTTGAATAGAAAAGGAAGTGAGACACTCAAAATATTAGAGAATAGAAAGAATTTGAGAGATGAGAATTGGCAAAATCATCATGACAGTCAGACAAAATAGGAGCGAGAGAGACTGGAAACAGGAATGAATCTGTGGGCATCAGAGACCCAAATCACCACAAGAAAAATTGGTCCATATTACAGAGAGGAAACATCCAAACCATGGCTCAGTTCTGCTAAGCAGGCATATTATCAAACTAAGCTGCAAAATATGGGTCATATATTCATGGCGCCATCGTCTGATCCTAATATGGCTATACAAATACATTCATACGCCAGAAAAATTGAGGTACATGACTCTAATTTTGTTAAAAATGTGCATAAGTGTATATATGAATCTGTGTATATATAAGCTATGTATACACACTTGTACATTGATCTAGCTACACACACACACACACACACACACACACACACACACACACACGTTTATCTTGTTCTCATTGCACGTGAGATTCACTCTTAAGGAGCAAATGTACTCTCAGTGTGCTAACACCATGTTTCTGAGGCTACCAGTTGAAAATCCAGGTTTCAGACTAGGATAAATTCATATAAATAACAATGCCCACCTCTCCTTCCCATTATTTTTTTTTTTGCAAATACTTCATGATTATCATCAGAATAAGTAAAACCTTTCACTTAGAAATCTAGCAAAAGAAGTGATATGAGGTATAATGGTCATCATCAGCCCTCATCGAAGTTTCCAGTTCTTCTCAGGGTCCTATTGTCATAGGGGCCAAAACATCAGAGAAGAAGGGTTTAATTTGAAAGAAAAAGTCTGAAACACTTATTCTCCACAAAAGCTATACTAAGCCTCCTTTGCATTTAAAGAATGCATAATCAAGCTGAGCATGGCCCTGAAAGTCTGTAATCAGATTTCCTGACTCTGAGTTTGAGGCAGGAAAAATGCAAGTATTGGGGTTTTTAAAAAATTTATTTATTTATTTATTTGGTACAGTGTCTCACTACCCAGCTTGGACTCATAGTGATCCTCCTGTCTCAGCCTCCCTAGTGCTGTGATTATAGGCATGCACCACCTCACCTGGTTTCAGTGGCCAGCACAGCATGTGGTACCTGGGATCAAACCGGGTCCTTGTGCTTGCCAGTCAGGCACTTAGACCACCAAGTTATCTTCCCCACCCAAGATTGAAAGCTTTTTTCCCCCAGTTCTGGGGATAGAACTTGGGACCTTGAGTTTGCCAGGCAGATCCTTATGACACTGAGCTATCTCCTTGGCTCTATAAGATTGCAAGTTTGAGCCCAACCTGGGCAACTTAATGACTTAGCAGGATCTTGTCTCAAAATAATAATAATAATAAAAAAAATTAACAATGGAATGGGACATAGCCCAGTGCCCAGGCCTTAGATTCAATCTTCAATACAAAAAAAAAATGTGTAATCAATTAATTAATAAAAGAACTACTGATAATTGAGATCTTATAATATTGCATTGGTTGACTTCCTAAAGGATTCCATGAGATAATCAGCAGTAACTTGGTTTTAAATTTAAAAATACTCAAGGTAGATCATTGTGGATTGGATCCAAGATTTACAGCCTGCAAGTGAAATGCAATAAATAAATAAATAAATACCAGTAACCAAAACTGAGCATGGAAACTCTGTCTGGATTGAAAGCTAGTGGCCCTCCCTGCATTGAGGGCTCCTCAATCCAGCCCTCTGAGCTGGGGGACAGCATTCCTTCCTGTGTTCACTGGACTGCAACACTTTGCACCTTGGCTCCCTAATATGACGTGAGGAACTCTTTCCCTCCCAACTTCCCACATTACCACCTGAATCATCCTTCTAAGTAATCAATGAAGCTGAAAAGACAGGAGGGCCTGCTGACTCTGGCTTCCTGAAATGCTGTCTGAATTGTCAACAATCCTACCCACTTCCTATTGCAATAAGCACTGGCTTCCTCAGCACTACTTCCTGAAGAGAAGGAATAGAGGTCTGGATGCTACACTGTCTGCTGGGGAGGCTGAAACAGGAGGATCACTAAGAGTCTGAGCTGTGTAGTGAGACCCTGTACCAAATACATAAAATAAAAATAAATGAATGAATAAATAAATAAATAAGCCAATGCAGCTTCCCCTGTGATCTTTTCTCAAATTTATGAGTAGGATCAGTAGCTTTTGCCTACGCTCAACTCCTAATTTCTTAGAATCATCTCCTTGGGGTCCCAAATCAGTCTGGCAATAAAACCTGTTGCTAGACATGAAATTGGTGACTCTGATGAATTTGAGATCAAAGAGTAATTCAGGGCCTAGGCCACAGAATGGCCACTGAAGACCTTAAGTGCCCCTGACTGCCACTTGTATGTTATGTCAGGGACAGTGTTGCTTATGCTGTGTAAGGATGTTAGTGCTAGCTGATCCTACATATCTTATAAACCCACAGTTGTAAATCTTAGACATTATGTTCATGATCTCTAAGTCTCTAAGGGAAATACAACTTTAGGTCCACAGTAGAGCCCAAATTATCAGTTATAGAAAAGCATACACATTACAATTTACAACGCTAACACTAATCACTGGACAGACAAAATAATGTGAGTATCTGAACCTTTTGGGGGCACAACAAATTGCATTTGCCTGTGAAATATTTATTATACACATGACTGCCAGAATTAAGGCCACAACCCTATAGTAATATTATGAAACACTTCTAATCCTTCTAAGGAAGTATATGACAGTTAGTATCTCAAATGAAGTACATGATAGTTAATGTATTTAATATGCACCAGAAAATAATAAAAGTCATTACGAACTTCATAATTATATTGAAAATTATACTTCTTTGGTCAACAAACCCATGTTCAGATTTTATCATTATAACAGGGACTAGACAATGTAATAAATTTTATATGTATTACAACATCTCTTGCTACTTATTATAACCCAAGTGGAACACTCGTACAAAATGAAAAAAAAAAAAAACCTAATCATGTATACATAATATGTTGTATATAATTTGAAATATTTTCTATCTTAAAACATGGTTTTACTTTAACAAAGCTGAATAACCATTTGGTTTTCTTATAGTTCAAAATGGAATAAACATTTTTTAATGTAATGAATGACAACTGTGTGTGTGTGTGAGGGGGTCCTGGAGGTTGAACCCAGGAATTGCACACTGAGCTTCATTTCTAGCCTTCTATTGATTCTTATTTTGACACATGGTCTTACTAAGTTGTTGGTTGTCAAGGTTAGGCTAGAATTTGTACTCCTTCTGGTTCAGCCTTCCAGAATTCCAGATGACAGAATGCATGCCTGTACTTTTATGCAAGAAACCAGTAACTATCAAAGGCTCTTTTTTAATGTTAAGTTAAAAAGAAATTTGACATAGACTACATAGTCTTATAATTGTATTTCCTTCTGAATGAATATTTGTCTGTCACAGGTTTCTCTCTCCTTTCATTAAAATTCTATGAATTTACATTTCCAAAAAGAGATTAGACTACTTTTTAGTAGGTTCTACTTGCTTTAAAAATGAAAATTTTCAGAACAAATGTGAATTTTATTCAAGTTCTCCAAAGATCATTTTAGTGAACCTTTTTATAAAACAATTGCCTTTTCAAGTTTATTGCTATCCTATCTACAATGAGATTTTTTTTATCATGAGGTGTCTCAAATTACATACTCCATTTTAATAGAAGTCCATCTAATTAATTGCATTATAGTGACTATTTAGACTTCTAAGTCACTACATTTGATCTGTAATGGAGGTTAAGTTTTGAAGAAAAATTCTCTACAATATTTATGTATTGTAAAGAGAATGTACTGTAGTTGGTATAGATAAGCAGATCTAGAAAAATTCTTCTTAAAAATAATAATGTTTTACAAATGGTTTTATACTATGAAGACAGAAGACTAAGAAAAGAAAGACACAGGTAGAGAAAAAATCAAAACATGCCCCTACTCACCAGGTGTGAAGTTGTAACGAGCCGAGAATCCCATAGACTCCAGTTCTCCATCAGCAAAAAATTTAATCCACAGAAATCGTCCACTGGATTTTATAACAGGTGGGTTTTGTTGCCCACAAAAACGTCCAATTATTGGAGAAAAGCCAAAAGGTCCATCTCTAACTTCAATGTGATCAAATTTGCACTCCCAAGATGGTTCAATCGAGTATTTTTCATCAAAGTAAAGTTCAATGCACTGTCTTGGGGCAGCTGTGAAAAAGAAAGATTATGCTTTGAAGGCCATTTCTTAAATATTTAGGTGAATATTTTGGATTCTTTTACAGGTTTTATTTGGACCTTTTTCAAATTCTGCTGATGCCACACGCAGAAATACAATAAATGGAGATGACACTTATTATTCTTGACACTTAATATTTGAAAGAATACTTTCATAAAAATGCATAAGGTAAATAAATGCATAAGGTCCTTAAAATTGATAATGTAGCACAAAAGTATTCTCATAGAACTGTCCATAAATTTAACGTATCACAGCATTTTTGCAAATGGCTGCTAAGCAAAGACGGAAAGGTTGTATGTAGTCTGAAGTACTCAGATATAAGGTCAGAAACCACTTGAGAACTGCTCAGCATAGAGTTATATAATCATTCAAGGAGCTCCAGGCAGGTGTCCCAACAAGATTCCAGTGTACATACAAGAATATCAAGAGGAGTGTTTCTAGAACACAAAGCTGATCCTGCACACCCAGCTTATTAATTTGACACATCTCCATCAGCTGCAGGGAAGTGACCAACACCCTTGACCAGCGAGAGCCTTCCTGACATCCCAATTTCGGGATTCTATCACCCCACAAGGATGCCAAACTCAGGCCACTTTAACACGTCATATTTTCTACGATAGTACATTCTTTCAGGCTGGTATGTGTTTCTCTCACTTTCTTTCATATCTGCATACATACAGTTTAGCTCTTTTTCATTCAAGAAGATCTTGTTTAAAGGAAATGCCTCCTACATCTGCTTGTGCAAGGCAAGACTGATACTTATTTGCTTTATTTCTCAGCACAGTATTGGTCACTGAGAATCCCTCCTCCCAAATCTTTCTGAGTAAATTATAAAATGAACTTATCTTCATAAATGTTTTTATAGCTCTCTAAAAACTCATGGAAGAGTCATATGGGGTTACCAACCATACAAACCACCATTTGACTCTATTATCTATTGTTCTCCCAAAATAGACAAAGCTCTATAATATTCAGACAAGATACTCCAGAATGGCCATAATATTTGTGGAAATATCAGTGCACAGTTATCCAGGGTGTTCCCCAGCTGCTGCTTTGAGAAGCTAGTGTGCTTCCCTGCCCTCTAGCAGGCACTAAGCCCTCCGGCCCTCTTCAGGCACTAAGCTCCCCCAAACCGTAGGAGTTTGGCCTTGGCATGGCACAGCCTGCTGCAGATGTGCTCTGCAGCCATCCTGAAAAGTGTCCTGAACATCATCCTTGATGATCTAAAAGTTCAATCACTCTATGCATGGATGTCAAAAGTTTAAAAAACTTATAGAATAAAATATAATTGTACTGCTTTTCAGACATAAAATCAAAGATCGGTAAAAGGCCAGTTTGTGTCAAAAGATTATTTTATGAAATATTTTTAATCTCTATCAATATTTCTTACTTGTTGGACATTGAAAAGAGACAACTGTGATACTTATAAGAAAAATCAGGAATAACTTATCTAACATTAATGTGTATCACAAAGGTCGGCACACACAGAATCCAAAACAGTGATACAATTGAGAAAGTTTCTGTTAAATACTTGAAATCTGGAAATTTGAGCACATCCTATGAAATCATCTGGAAAACTAAGCATTAATGTAGAAGAGGCAAATGCTAAAGCAACTGAATATGCTTTGAATTTAGCACTAAACATGCTCTTTGTATGCACTACTATTCCACAGACTATATCTGCTTATTCATCTTCTCTTCAAAAAGCCATCTGGTAAGTCTCTGGCAGGGGAAAAAATATTTAAGAACGTGGGGTAATTCTCTTAGAGGTATAGAATTTATATATAGGAAAAGGTAAGGAAATGAGAATGTGCCATGCTAATTTATTTAGATATTTGTCTATACTCTGCAGTTTCTTCTATTAGCAAATATGTGACTCTCTTACATAAGTTTATTCCTACCTTCAATTTGTCACTTAGGTTCTGTGCCACATGGATAAACAAACCAAATGTCCCTTTGACAAGGTGACATCACCTAGGCCTTTTGGTGGGACACATTGTATGTAACAATTTATTTTCCTTTGATCCAGCATGTTAAAGTTAACTACATACACAGCCAAGTGAAAAGTCCACTAGCTGAATTTTAGGAGGTGGTAAATTAACTTTTAAAAATCATCATGCCATATAATGCTTGTAAATTTAAAAAGTGAATGATTATGGCACAGATGAACCATTGCAGCTTTCTAGGTTCAATTCTTTCGGCTTTTTTTTTTTTTTCACATTCAAATCGCTCCGTTCACAGCTACCTCACACGTTAATATTTTGCCTGAGCTGTGTGGGATTAAAAAAGGAAAACAAAATCTAAGGTTCTTTTATGAAAATCCTCAATCCATTTGTGAATTGTTGGACATGTTCTGCACTATGGGCACTTTCACTTGCATCATGCACATGTATATAGTTTGCTTCCTCCAATTTTAGTACATTTTAAGACCACCAGAAGCCCACAAAAGTCCACATGCTTTTTATGTGACTGAGATTCTACTTGTACACTTTGTCACAGACTGTTGAACTATAAGCAATTTGATCAATTACTTGTTCCATTTTGTCTTTTTTATATTTACTTTTTCTTCTACAAAATAAGGTTACCCAATTTTGAAGTCAAAGATGTACAATTTACCCTTCTATTGACAAACAAAAACCAAAAGCGTATATTACCTGTCCAGCTTGGGCCCCACTGTTCACAAATACCATCATTGCCCTTACTTCTTCCACTGGGAGCTGTGCCATCCCAAGTGGGCCACTCAAATTTTATCATAAAATCACATATATCCCATTACTTTATGAGACATCTCCATAAATAACAAAATTGAACACAGTTTTCTACATAAAACCTTTTTCCCCCACCTGGATTTCTTCTCTGGTATGGCATTTCCATTGAGTAAATAGTCAGAAAAAATCCCTTATAGTAGTCCTGGGATTCTCTCCTCTCTCCCAACATCCCATATCCTACATTCTAAATGCTTCACATTTCTGCCTATGTATCACCAGTACTGCTTCTTTGGTTCAGGATTTTACTATGACTTGCTCAGTCTTTTGTGAAGGTTTCTGATTTCATGTTTTTTCCTTCATTACTTCTTCAAAAACCTCACCTTCCTATTTTTCTATGTAACTACTTCCAATGGCACCCCACTGTCTACCACTTAATGTCATGCTGGGACAGATGAAATGTCAGATTTTCCTTCCTCTGAGACCACGTGTCTCTACTCTGCTCCTCTCTTCACTAATGAAGAGGCACTTGGTGTCTTTAACCAACATTTCACATCTCAGAACTTCTATACAGAAGATGATTGCTTCCTGAAGGCTCTTTAAAAATGAAGCTAACGTCTCTTCCTCAGTTTTCACTTTAATCTTTCTAATCTACCCATTCTGTGCTACATTTGAGGTCCCTATGTACTGCTTTCCAAAAGGGGCATAATCTCCAGGCCATATTGTAAGTACTGTACATATTCAGCTGTTTGTTCAAGACTTTCTAAATACGTCTAGAAGAGTAGCTGCTCAATATTAGTTAAGTGAATACATAAAATGTTTCAAAAGGGTACAGTCAGGAGTGCTGGTACACACCTTAATTTTAGCACTGCTGGGTGGCTGAGGCACAAGGGTTGCAAGTTTGAATCCAGCCTAGGAAACTTAAAATGGACCTTGTCTCCAAATAAACACTAAAAGAGCAGCTGGTGATTTAGCTCAGTGCAAAGTTCCTAAGTTCTAACCCTAGCGTTCCCTTCACCTCAAAATGTGCAAAATTAAGAGTTATACTAAAAGGAGGTTTTATTTATTTTATTTTAGCTTTGACCTTGGTATAACTATAGATCCATGAGAGTCTGTACATAATATTAAATTAAAATGCTTTTTAGTTACAGGTATCATTATTAACAATGAAGGTATAACTTATTTCTGAATTAATCTTCAGTTGATTTTATTCTTTGTATAGTAATTTAGAGTTTTAAAATATTGATGTTTTAAAATACAAATTATGTCATGTGAATTTAAGCAAGGTATTTAACTTTTTGTATCTATTTCCAAATAAGTAAAACAGAGTCAACAAAAATAATTAGAGGGCAGGCCAGACAGCACCACAGACTAAAGCTTTTGCTTAGGCAGGAAGCAGCAGGGGTTTGATCCCAGGCACCCGAACTCCAGGAGCACACTGAGACAGTGATTGAGATTGGGCATGGTGGCTCCACCTGTAATCCCAGCACTTGGGAGGCTGAACACAGGAGAATCACTATGAGTCCAATCTGTGTACTAAATAGATTTAAAAGAAAAAGGACAAGTGGAAAGGAAATAGTCTCACCTCAAACACTACAATGAGGAAAAGAACCATTTCTTAAATAGAAATTCTTAAAATCAGTTGAGCAAAATCTCAGTATCTTATGACAGTGTTCTTAAGTAAATTTGTCCCTGGTTTTTAAATGGATATTAAGCACACATAACTTTTTCCTTAAGGTACCTTAATGCATGCGGAAAAGGTTACCAAGTCTAGGCAACTCAGAACCAACACAAAATATTGAAATTTTTCAACATCACATAAAAAGTTCACATTTATGAAAAAGCTGTATTTAGCAGAAGTATTTTAGGGAAAGAACTATGAATGTTTTGAGAAGTGAGTGTTCTTTTTAGTAATATTTCAACATAAAAAATGATGAAAGAAATGACTATGTATTAGGACTCTGACTTTTCAATTAACATATAATTCCCTTTTCAGTAAAAGAGATGGTAACTGCCATTTAGATTAATATTTAGAAAACATGGGTTATCAGTTCTTTTCTGGAACCAATGGTTTTTATGCCTTAATATCATTAAAAAATAACATGTATAGATTATTCTAGACCTTGTAAAACTAATAAAAATATTACTTTCTTTTCACTTTAGGTAATAACCATTCCACTACTTTAGAACTGTAAATCAAAAGCTATAAAATAGTCTCTTTAGTTGTTGATTGATTTTTATTTCCCAGAATGTTTGTTCATAAGCCATTACTAATAATTTCAGTAATTAGCCTGATTCCAGATTTTACAATTGTTTGCTCCACCCAGAAATATTTGTGCTTGCTACTTTCTTTGTAAAGTCTAGGGCCCTAGGGAGACAGCTCAGTAGAATAAATGCTTGCCTGGCAAGCTCAGGGTCCTGAGTTCAATCCCTGGTACTGCCAGGAAA